GGGGGGGGGGGGGGGGGGTATTGTATTAAAGGGGGGGGGGGGGGGGAAGAAAAAAATTTATAAAGGGGGTTTTTTTTTTTGGGGGGAGGAGGAAAAATTTTTTGGGGGGGGGGGGGGGGGTTTTTTTTTTTGGGGGGGGGGGGGGGGGGGAGGGGGGGGGCTTTCGTTGACTCCGGCATTGCATCTGGCATCGCTGTGCTGCTGTTCACACCAAGAGGAAATCTCCACTTCCACCCTTTCCGCGAGAGAGAGGAACGCCCCTTCTCTCTGCACGTTTGCCCGCACGAAACCACGCACGAAAATGCCGTGCGTAGTGCTGTAGATCTCACTACTCATGCGCCCTCGTACACCAAGAAACCATACAACTGCTCTGCACACACACACAGCTCAAATAAATACGGTAGATACCGCCTATCGTCCAGCGATGCGCTTACCTCCCCCGTGGTAGAACCCTCCCCGGTGTTCTCCTCCTTCTGTCCGAGAAGCAGCCCCGACTTGGTCGTCGTCGCCTCCGGGTCCACCTTGTTTTGTCCAACATTTTTTTCGCGGGGGGAACACATACATACGTAGGATGTAGTGGATCTATCCTTTTATGTCCAACACTATTTTGCGGGGGGACTACATTCATACGTAGGATATGGCGGATCCATCTTTTTAAGTCCAACATTTTTTTGCGGGGTGAATACATTCATACGTAGGATATGGCGGATCCATCTTTTTTGCCCAATATATTGCGGGGGAAATACGTACGTACGTGGGATATAGCGCCGCACCAGCAGGGAGCGGCACTACTATCTTGATAAGTGTTGCAGCCGGGAAAAGAGGCACGGGCAAGGGGAGCGAAGTCCTCTAGATCGACCGGCGTCGGGTCTGCAACACGGAAACGGGTCCCGCGGAAGGCCGAAACGTTGCTTGTGTGTACTCGGCAGAGTGCGCATCTCCGAGACATCCGCCGGAGGTTACGCGGATGTGATGGGCTTGACGCGCTTGGCTCTTCTCGCCTTACTCTCTATATAATACAAGGAACTTGAGCCACTCCGCTTCTGTTCGGAAACGCTCTCGAGAATGGTCCGTGAGGGCGAGATAACGCAGCACACGCGCTGACACCCTGAACAAAACCTTTGGTTGACTCCCGTCCACATCTGCAGGGAATCAATCGCGCCAGCTACAAGGCCCCTGAAACGAACGTGCCGCCATTGGTCAAGTCTGCCCTCGCCAAAGTTTTCATCCGGAAACAAGCACACACAAACGCAACGCAAACAAAAAAAGGCAGACACACGACACCATCGTGGCACTACTGTACATACGCTACGGCCACCGTCCAGCGGCACACACACACATCGGACAAAAAAGGGTACACCAACACCACCACCCGGCTCGCTGGCCGAGAAGCCCACTGTACCTTGACGAGGAGCTCGTCCCTGATCATCTTGATGGTGCTCGGCTCCATCCGCTCCCCCGAGTACACGAACAGGATGTCCTGGTCTCGCACGAACTGGTGGTCCGTTCCCATGTAGTCCACCGCCGTCCCGTCGAACTCGCCGTAGAGAACCTGACAAAAAAAAAAAAAATGAAAAAAAGAGAGCGAATCACCGAGAGACAGGAGGGCGGACAAGCTGCAATGTATAGGACTGACCACGCAGAGCAAAGTACGGGTGATACGAAAAAAGACCAGGCAGGGGGCACGCCGACCCTGACACTAACCCGACTTAGCTGATTCTAACTTTACCCAGTATGTTTTTGCGTACTTCGAAAAACCTTCGTAGACAATCGGGCTTTAATAGGAGGAGCGGAGCGAGGGGAGTGTGGGATGGATGGGCGGACTGATTCACGCGTGGCTGTGCAGTCGTCTTCGACAAGGCATGCCAACAGCAGCAGGGTGGGGGCGGAAACTGCCTTTCGTCACCAACGCACCATCATCCTTGTGCTAAACAGGAAAGGTATGGCACTTCGTCCGATGGCTCCGAATAACGCCCCCCCCACACACCCCCGAATGTATTGACTCATGTTCCTCGAACGATGCGAGGCAACTTCGTGACCGATAATACTCGCGGCCTAACTCCCCCCGGATACATGTTGACCCACTCACTGCTGCCTCAGGAGTAGCACAACCTTTCAACAAAACAGTTCAAAAGTCCCTCCCTCTTATCGACCGCGCAAAGAACAGATCCACTTCTGGTTCACAAAAAACATGATGGACACACCAAACAATCCAGTCCACAAGACATCCGCCATGCGGTACGCCAACAGCAGCAAGAGCAAATGGCACCGACCTCGCTTAACGATGCACGCAACAGCGAAAACTAACTCTTCCGTAGGGCTTCCAACCATACTGCCCGGCCGTCAAAACAATACGGACCGCCTTCGCGAGAAATTGAGCCTACTAGGAAATAGAACAGGGAGGGGGCACGCAGGCTGTATCCCAAGCCCTAACCCAACGTCCCCGATTGCAAACTTTATCCAACATATTTACTTAGGAGAAAAACCCTGCGAAGGCTACTGAACAGGACCCCCCCCCCCCCGGTATCCAACGTCATCACCAAAGCACACCTTGTCTCCCAGGGCGCAAGGGATGTCCACGGGGACGCCCGTCTCGGGGTGCGTCTTTCCCGGCCCCATTGAAACAACGACCCCCTCCGTCGGCTTAACTTGGGCCTGCGGGTGCGCGTTTAAGGTCGACAAGAGGCGAGACGAAGGTCAGGGTTAGGACGTTGCTGTCTTGTACATTGTAGTGTGCGGTTTGATTTGTTGTTGGGGCGGTGGCGAAGACGCTCAAGGAGTTGGGAGCCGATCACGAGGCATCCGTCCGTCGGCAACGATGCTTGTGCCACCGGCCGTTCTATTGTCTGTTCGGCGACACGCGCTGCACCTTGTACGGTTCCCGCAAGCCTCATCGTAACTTCCGTGCCGCCAACACGACAGTCGCCATCTCTTCCAACCACCCCCTCTCTGTTGCTAAACTGGGGTTTCAGAAGTGGACTGAAAAGGTGGGAAGTGATACGTTGTAGATAGAAGGGGGAATCAGTTTTTGAGCCACCTTCCGGAAAGGAAGAAAGGAAGGAAGGAAGCAACCAATGGCCATCGGTGATCGGTCCCGTGGGAACGATGCTCCGTTCTCTCGAGAACGCGGCGCGCCCAACGGTCCAACATCAAAGGCGTGCAACACGTGAGTACCCCCCCCCCCCCCCCCCCCCCCCCCACTTTTTCCGGGGGATTATTCCCCCTTTGGAACCTAACTCCTTTTAACGAAAC